TTGGGGAAATTCAAGTTTCTCACGGGATCACCCCCCCAGATCCATCAGGGACCCCCCCTCCCCCCAAAATGGCAGAATTCTCGTGGGACCCCTCCCCCAGGACCCCCAAAATCCCTTTGGGACCCCCCCAGGATCCCCAAACTCCCATGGGACCCCCCCAGAAACCCCAAACCACCCCCGGGACCCTCCAAAAACCCCTCGGAGCACTCCCAGGACCCCGGAATCCGCTCGGGATCCCCCTTGGACCCCACAGGTTTTTTGGGACCCCCCCCGACCCCTCACAAACCTCCCCAAATTCCGGGGGCCCGGCCCCCCCCAATAAATGTATTAAACGCGTCCGGAGCTGTCAATCAACGCCATGGGCTGAGCCGTGATTGGCTGAGGGCGGGGCCGTGGGCGTGGCTACGGTTTGGGACGAACCATTGATGATCAAGGATGGGGGATAGGTGGGCGATGCCACCATGAGAGAGGCGGGGTCTTTTTAAAACAATATTCATTTATTAATGCTAATACTGTTGGTTTTATTAGGGAAGAAATTGATTTAATATTAACCTGCTTTACCTCCGGAATGATTCCATTTCAGTTCATTGTTTTTATTATTAAATCTTCCCGGTCGGGGCGGGGGAAATGGCGGGCGGAAGTGACGTCACACGGGCGGTTTCCGCCTCCCTCTCTGATTGGTCGCTTCCCTCAGCGCGTGGGCGGCGCTTCCGCTGTTAGCTTCCGGTTTGGGCGGGGGGCCGCAGCTGAGGGTGAGGGCGGTGGGGGAGGGGCGGCTCCGGGGCGGGATTTTGGGGGGTCCTGAGGGGATTTTTGGGGTCTCGGCGCCCCCGGCCGGGTCCCAGCGCTGTCCGCGCCCCCCCCAGGCCGCCATGAGCCTGCAGTGGACGGCGGTGGCCACGTTCCTGTACGCCGAGGTTTTCTTGGTGCTGCTGCTCTGCGTCCCCTTCGTGTCTCCGGCCAGGTGAGCAGGGCAGGGGGTCCCTGAAGGTGAGGGGGGGGATTCTGGGGGGGTTCCCTGAGGGTCTGTGGGGACAAAGTGGGGTGAGGGGAGGGTTCGTGGAATTGGGGATTTCCTGAGGGAATTTGGGGGGTCCTGGGGGACTCTGAGGGGTCTCGGTCTGTATCCCCCAAACACGCATGAGAAGTTTTTCTTCTCTTTTTCATGACCCTGGGGGGATTCCCTGGACCTGAGGATTTTATTTAAAAATTTTGGAGGGTCCTGGGAGGTTCCTGACGGATTTGGGCGGGGTGGGGGGGGTCCCAATTTTTGCCCCCCCCAGAACATGGAAAAAAAATTTCAATTTTCTCATCATTCTGGGAATATTCCCTAAAAGTGAGGATTCCCTGAGGAGAATTCCCCAGGAATTTGAGGAATTCCGAGGGGGGGGTCCCCAATTTATCGCCCCCTTCCCCTTTCAGATGGCAAAAAATTTTCCGCTCCCGCCTCGTGGGCTTGGCCGTGGCTTATGGCAACACCTTCTTCATCGTGCTCATCATCATCCTCGTGCTGCTGCTCCTCGGTGGGTCTGGGGGCGGCTTGGGGGGGGTCCCAGCCCCCCCCCGCCCCGTGCTGACCCCTCCGACCCCCAGATGCTGTGAGGGAGACCCGTAAATACAACGTGGGCGAGAGGGAGGCTCTGAACAGCAGCCCGGCCGCCCTGGAGCATTTCCACATGAAACTCTTCCGTGCCCAGAGGAACCTTTACCTGGCCGGCTTCTCCCTGCTGCTGTCCTTGTGAGCCTGGGCGGGGCTCGGGGGGTCCCAGACGCGATCTGGGGGGTGCTGGAGTCGATTTGGGGGGTTCTGGAGTCGATATGGGGGGTCCCAGGCACAATCTGGGGAGGGCTGGAGTCAATCTGGGGGTCCCAGACACGATTTTTGGGGGGCTGGGAGGGGGATAGGATTTGGGAGGGGCTCTGGAACATTTCAAGGGGGGTCCCTGAACCCCGTTTGGGGATCTCTGACCCCCATTTTGAGACCCCCAGCTCCTGAGGCGCCTCCTGGCCCTGATCTCGGCCTAGGCCGCACTCGAAGCCTCGAGCCAGGCCTCGCTTTAACAAGGCCCGGGGGGCTCTGGGGGGGCTCTGGGGGATTTGAGGGGTTGTCCCTGAGCCCCATTTGAGATCCCTGAGCCCCATTTTAAATCCCTGAGCCCCATTTTGGGATCCCTGAGCCCCGTTTTTCTCCCCCAGCTCCTGAGGCGCCTCCTGGCCCTGATCTCGGCCTAGGCCGCGGGTGAAGCCTCGAGCCAGGCCTCGCTTGAACAAGGCCCGGGGGGCTCTGGGGGGTTCAGGAGGATCTGGGGGGGTCCCTGAACCCCGTCTTTGTGCCCCCCCAGCCTCCTGAGGCGCCTGGTGACGCTGATCTCGGCACAGGCCGCGCTCGGGGCCTCCAGCCAGGCCTTCCGCAAACAGGCCGAGGGCGCCAGCCAGGCCGCGCGGCAGTACCTGGAGGACAACGACGCCCTCAGGAAGGT